ACTCGGCCTGTGTAATATAACTCGACCATTGCGGCATGTAGTAAAACATGGACTGGACTCATTAGTAAAACATGGACTGGACCCGATTAGTAAAACATGGACTCGATTAGTAAAACATGGACTCGATTAGTAAAACATGGACTCGATTAGTAAAACATGGACTCGATTAGTAAAACATGGACTCGATTAGTAAAACATGGACTCGATTAGTAAAACATGGACTCGATTAGTAAAACATGGACTCGATTAGTAAAACATGGACTCGATTAGTAAAACATGGACTCGATTAGTAAAACATGGACTCGATTAGTAAAACATGGACTCGATTAGTAAAACATGGACTCGATTAGTAAAACATGGACTCGATTAGTAAAACATGGACTCGATTAGTAAAACATGGACTCGATTAGTAAAACATGGACTCGATTAGTAAAACATGGACTTTATTAGTAAAACATGGACTCGATTAGTAAAACATGGACTCGATTAGTAAAACAATCCTAAATGTAGTTCTTTGTCTGTTTTTTTTTGTAAATTGTAATTTTAATAATTGATAATAACATCAACTTTAGTGTATAAGAGGGCATGTAGTAAAACATGGACTGGATTCGTTAGTAAAACATGGACTGGACCCGATTAGGGGCCGATCATTTAACTTTTGAGGGGGGGGGGGTAATCGTTACGTGCAAGATTTTTATTTATTGTACGTATTGCACCATGTACGAGTTTTTTTGCCACACTTTCTTTCGCAGCATTTTTTTTCAATAGCTTATACTATTTAGATTCTTTAATTATAGTTAACGTCGAGTTTTCCGCTTCATGCATTGCTCTTAATAATACATATTGCTATGAGGTATAACATTTGGTTCAGGGCCTTTTTTAAGGATGTTTAACTGGAGAGGATATAATTAGCGGGGGACCTGGAGAAGTTCCAGTCGGCAAGTCTGTATCCAGGGCCGTAGGGGGGGGTGTAGGCCAAAAATTTCCGAATGACGAAAATAATTTCCGAATATATCATGGCATAGTAAGCCACGAAGATGTTTGCTATTCGGAAAATGAAGACGCAATTTGCAAACAAAAATACGCATATTTTACGCACAGACATATTACAGAAGCAGTGCGGTAGGGAGCTTTTGTTTATTGGGGGCAGAAAACGAGGGCTGGAGGACCGAAGAAATTTTTAAATTTCAAAATGCCATTTCATATAGAAATGTCTCTGAAATGCCATTTGCTGGACTTTGGGGAAGTTTTGACAGAATGCTGATGGTCAGAAAAAAGCGTTTTTAAGCGTCGAAATTTAAAAATAGTGACAATACAATTTTATAATATTTTCTCTGTTTAACAACTAAAATTTTCAGTCTACTATTATTGCCATAATTTTCCGAATGGCCAACCCGATTTTCTGAATATGTTGATTCTAAAAACGTTGGGGGGTTAACCACCACCCCCCCCCAATACCCCCTCCTCGCTACAGCCCTGTCTGTATCACTGCAGCTACCTAAGCATGGTTTAACTAATAAGTATACGTCATAGGCAGCAGCTCAGGCCATGCTTAACTAGGACTCTGAGAAAACTGAGTCGACCACCGAAGGTGCGAGCCTCTAGAGGGGTCTGGTGGCATGCCCCCTTGAAGCTCAGATTTTTGAAGCTCAGATAAGCTATTTCCAGCATTTTGAGGAGTTTTCCAACAAGAAATTAACCTTACACTAGTCCCTCAAAATCAAACCAGCTGATCTTCTTGGACTGGTCAAATCGATCCCTGCACCAAATACTGGGGCAGGATATTTTTCCCCAGTTTGTTAGTGCAGGTATTATTTTTTTTTTGTTCAGAATAGCCTTGCAGGAATTTTTTTTCAAAATCACCCCCCTCCCCCCCCTCAAAAGTTAAATGATCGGCCCCTTAGTAAAACATGGACTCTTGGTAGGCATGATGTGCTAATTCCACTGAATGATTCAGACCAATTTTTTCCTGAAACATTTAAACATTTTTTCATTGTGTTATATTTTAAGCTGCCGTATTTCTTGAGACCCCTCTTGAGTCTGAGGGGCAAGATATTTTTGAAAGTGTCGCGTATCGATTTATTCCACGAACTTCCTAATTATGTACGTTTCCCTGATGACCCCATCTCCCCCCCCCCCACCTTACAAACCTAACACGAAATTGAATAGGGGTCGGTTGTATCAAAGGCGTTTGGCTTAAAGGGTGTATAGGCAAAAAATTAAAAACATTCCTTCTCAATATACATATATTGTAAGTACTTGAACTTAATTTTTATCAACTAAATGAGTAGTTTTATGCATTGTTATTATGTTTAGACAGAAAAGAAAAGTTTTGTAATCAATAGTTCATAGATTTGTTTAATTTATACAACCGACCCCAGATCTATTTATCGGCCGCTGTTCGCACGCAAACAAATATGTAAATGCTCATATTTATAAACTATTGGCAAACGGTTGCCGGTGGTCAGAATGTCTGACACCATCAATCCAAATTTCGTAAATTAGTATTGCAGGAAACATGCCGATTGTCGGAGAATCTTTTTATCGAGTATATATTTATAACCACGTCCAAATTACGTTTCTCCTGGGATAAATCGATGTGGACGTGTTAAATAGCAAAGGTGTTTCTGACAAAATCAAGAAATCATCTATATCTATATAGCATTACCTAGCTGTCGGTAAATAATTTGGTATTTATTCCACATTTACTTTGTCGTGAATTGCCTCCTATATTCACAACAACTCAATAAAAGTAGACATTTCAAACGCTTTTATAAAAAATATATTTATTCTCGCCCCGTCTCAACACAATCACACAAAGTTCTTGCAATGTACAAACCGCATGATTGACACTTGCGCATTAATTAACTTCTGGTATGCCATAAACTGTTAAATATTAAATATTGACAATCTCCAACATACTTAAATGGTCGATGTTTCTTGAAACTTTACGTTAAATATCGATGAGATCTCTTGTACACTAAAGTTGATGTTATTAAAATTACAATTTACAAAAAAACAGACAAGGAGCTACATTTAGGAATGTTTTACTAATCGAGTCCATGTTTTACTAATCGAGTCCATGTTTTACTAATCGAGTCCATGTTTTACTAATCGAGTCCATGTTTTACTAATCGAGTCCATGTTTTACTAATCGAGTCCATGTTTTACTAATCGAGTCCATGTTTTACTAATCGAGTCCATGTTTTACTAATCGAGTCCATGTTTTACTAATCGAGTCCATGTTTTACTAATCGAGTCCATGTTTTACTAATCGAGTCCATGTTTTACTAATCGAGTCCATGTTTTACTAATCGAGCCATGTTTTACTAATTGAGTCCATGTTTTAATAATCGAGTCCATGTTTTACTAATCGAGTCCATGTTTTACTATTCGAGTCCATGTTTTACTAATAGAGTCCATGTTTTACTAAAGATTCCATGTTTTACTAATAGAGTCCATGTTTTACTAATAGAGTCCATGTTTTACTAATCGAGTCCATGTTTACTAATACAGTCCATGTTTTACTAATAGAGTCCATGTTTTACTAATCGAGTCCATGTTTTACTAATAGAGTCCATGTTTTACTAATACAGTCCATGTTTTACTAATAGAGTCCATGTTTTACTAATAGAGTCCATGTTTTACTAATCGAGTCCATGTTTACTAATACAGTCCATGTTTTACTAATAGAGTCCATGTTTTACTAATCGAGTCCATGTTTTACTAATCGAGTCCATGTTTTACTAATACAGTCCATGTTTTACTAATAGAGTCCATGTTTTACTAATACAGTCCATGTTTTACTAATCGAGTCCATGTTTTACTAATACAGTCCATGTTTTACTAATCGAGTCCATGTTTTACAAATAGAGTCCATGTTTTACTAATAGAGTCCATGTTTTACTAATAGAGTCCATGTTTTACTAATCGAGTCCATGTTTACTAATACAGTCCATGTTTTACTAATAGAGTCCATGTTTTACTAATAGAGTCCATGTTTTACTAATCGAGTCCATGTTTACTAATACAGTCCATGTTTTACTAATAGAGTCCATGTTTTACTAATCGAGTCCATGTTTTACTAATCGAGTCCATGTTTTACTAATACAGTCCATGTTTTACTAATAGAGTCCATGTTTTACTAATACAGTCCATGTTTTACTAATCGAGTCCATGTTTTACTAATACAGTCCATGTTTTACTAATAGAGTCCATGTTTTACTAATAGAGTCCATGTTTTACAAATATAGTCCATGTTTTACTAATAGAGTCCATGTTTTACTAATAGAGTCCATGTTTTACTAATACAGTCCATGTTTTACTAATAGAGTCCATGTTTTACAAATAGAGTCCATGTTTTACAAATAGAGTCCATGTTTTACTAATACAGTCCATGTTTTACTAATCGAGTCCATGTTTTACTAATACAGTCCATGTTTTACTAATAGAGTCCATGTTTTACAAATAGAGTCCATGTTTTACTAGTACAGTCCATGTTTTACTAATCGAGTCCATGTTTTACTAATAGAGTCCATGTTTTACTAATAGAGTCCATGTTTTACAAATAGAGTCCATGTTTTACTAATACAGTCCATGTTTTACTAATCGAGTCCATGTTTTACTAATACAGTCCATGTTTTACTAATAGAGTCCATGTTTTACTAATAGAGTCCATGTTTTACAAATATAGTCCATGTTTTACTAATAGAGTCCATGTTTTACAAATAGAGTCCATGTTTTACTAATAGAGTCCATGTTTTACTAATAGAGTCCATGTTTTACTAATAGTGTCCATGTTTTACTAATCGAGTCCATGTTTTACTAATCGAGTCCATGTTTTACTAATTGAGTCCATGTTTTACTAATCGGGTCCATGTTTTACTAATCGGGTCCAGTCCATGTTTTACTAATGAGTCCAGTCCATGTTTTACTACATGCCGTAGTCGAAGCATGGAGGGTATCAGGTTTTTCGGTTTAACATTGGGTCGTGTCTTTAGAAGCTCACGCAAACGATCATCCTGATTGTGATGATGAAGAAATGAATCGGTACCACTACCATATGGCCTTGAAACTTCATCGGAGAGGAACATGGCTTCAAGTTCGAAACTATTTAGACGAAAAATATGGTATTAAAGTAAATTTTAGCGATCATCATAATACTTATTACAGCAGCTATAAATATGTAACAAAGGAAGACGAGTCTGCTCAACATTCTGAAACGCATCCTGATTTACGAAACGCACCAAGGACCGAAAAGGCCACAAATGCTAAAAAGAGAAAGGCCGGGGTAGGACGATCAGGATCGAAGAAAGGTCAGAGAAAGAGACAAAGAGAGCGTGCATTAACGGTATATGACGTATCCGAAATTATTCGCAATAAAAACATGACGAAGAGAGTGGAGCTAGTCTGTCTCGCTGTCCAACAGAAACGAGAAGGCAACACTGCTTTAGCAGAGTTTGTTGCTAACAAAGGAGAAAACGCCATCAGCGATGCTTTGGCCATAGCCAAAGAATTTGCGGAAGCCGAAAGCAAGCTTGAAAGGTCAAAGAAAACCCGCATAACTTGCTAAAAGAAGCGAAAGATGGTCAGTGCTGCGAGGGTTGCAACTCTAAATGGTCGCTGGCTGCAGAACAGCTACTAGAAAGCAATGGTATCTCGACCAAATCGTTTTGCGAAGCCGTCTACGTTGCTCTGGAGAAAGGCAGGGGAAAGTACCAAAACATTTATATTCACGGGCCGGCAAACTGTGGAAAGACGTTTATAAGCATCTCCAACGCTTTTTGTAATCCAGCTGCAGGCTCCTTTGCATGGATGGGGGCAGACGAAGCAGAGATAATTTTTCTGAATGATTTTTGGTGGAGTCCTAACGTTATTGCCTGGGCTGATTTACTACAAGCGTTGGAAGGAGATGTGGTTCATCTCCCAGCTCCCAAGAATTTCTACAAGAGAGATCTCGAGCTTTCAGCTGACACCCCATTTTTTGCCACGTCTGATGCGCCGCTGGTTTTAATCAGAGGTGGCTGTATTGATCGAGCAAATACAGACATGATGAATGTCCGCTGGAAATTCTTTCATTTTTTCAAACAGATACCGCAGGCCTCTCAAGTTCGAATGAATCCTTGTTCTCATTGCTTTGCCAAATTCATTGAAAATAGGGAATGATTTAACTTCTAAAAACAGTTATGGTTTAAAATTCCATTTGGGATCAGTAACGTTCACGTGAATAACATGCGCTTTCAGGACTTGCACTTAATTGACAGTACTCACTGACAATGCTCAGCCAAAAATGGGAAATAGGAACTCATAGGACTTTTATTCCGTAGAAATTTCGTTTGGAAATGTAAACGTAAGTGAACAGCATGCATTTTTGTTCTTATTTTTCTCCCTAGCAGGCAAGTATTATTCGAAAATTCAGAGAGTAATCGCCGTCGCGTCTGAAGTATAAACAAACAAAGTGACTGTTATTTAACACGGACATTGTGATGAGTACTGTTAATTTACGCACAATAACAGCATCTATTTTATATCTAAGTAATACAGAGTGACGATGACATTCATATTAATTTTTCTTTAACTTCTATGTTCAAAATAGTTCAAAATTGAGGTCGAAAAGATGATATTTGCGTGAGTACTGTTGGTGAGAAATGAGAGAAATGTATAATTACAGTAGCATATTTCGTTATATCTAAAAATAAATTAATATTTAGTTCGGTAGCCGCCAGATTCGATTACTGCATCAACACGCTTTGACAAGCTTGCAATTGTTTTATCAATTATATCACATGGAATACGTTTCAAGGCACCCACCACTCTTTCGCGAAATTCAGAAAAATTTTCTGATTCTATATGTTTGTTCACAGCTTCTTCACGTAGATCACGTTTGACAATATGGAAAATATTTTCTATGGGGTTTAGGTCTGGTGGTCGCGCTGGGATTTTTAATAATTCAGCTTCAATGACTTCTAGTGCTTTCATGGCGACTTTACTGCTTTGACAAGGGTCATTGTCCATTACAAAAAGCCGCTTGCCGTCGTCTTTTGGGCCTGCTTGTGCAAAGCATGTATTAAAGTTGTAGCGAAGAATTTCCCCGTCATTTTTTCATACGGTTTTGCTAAAATAGTCACCTTTCCGTAAGCAATTGCGACCATCACGTGAACCCAACGACTACCTGCCAGCTCTTTACATCCTTTTCCAGTATATTTCAGTTCTTCTCCTTTTTGACGCCGCACTCTTGCCATTCCTTTGTTGTCGCTGTTCTCATTGGATTATATTTGTGTATAAAAGAAACGCCATCTAAATAGAATGCTACTTCTTTTTCCCAAAAATGTCTGTTTCGTTTTGTACAATTGCGCATTTCCCTGCAAAATCTTCCCCTCAGCTTTCTGTCGTTATCTGACAAAATCCCATTTTTTCGCCTCTGCAGAAATCCATATCCATTTTCGTTTAGTATACGCGAGCACGTTCTTCGATTAACTTTAGCTAAACTAAGACCGCTTTCAGGCACTAACGTCCTAACAGATACGTTTGGTTCGCGCATTCGCAATATCTTCAGTGTTCGTATTAGCGATCGTACATTTCTTGCGTTCAACTTTCGTGGTCGTCCTTTCTTTCTGCTGCATTTCCTCTCGCCCTTAATGTCCATTTTACATATTCTATGACTAGACGTTTTTGAAATTTTGCATAATTTTGCTATCTCATTAAACGACGCGTTTTCCTTTTCTTTTAGTAAACGGGCGTATGCCATTTGAACGGATGAAATTTTAGTACCTGACATTGCCACTGATTTTAAAAACGGTTTTTGAAATCGATTGTGAAAATAATTGTTTACGTATTAATTAGTTCATTAGTGCGTTTAATTAGGTATTACTGATTAACAGGGAAATAAAAAAATTACATAACAGGCTTATTAAATAGTAATTCTTACGAAAGAAAATCATTACCGTTCTCAGACAGTCTGAAAATTAACGATCTATTAGTGAGGTGCATGAAGATAAAGGGCTTTTGAGTAGAAGGAGTAAAGTGCGAGATTTATTATTTTAGAAGTTATATAAATGAGCTTACATTCCAAAAGAATGTGTTCATCCTATATTTTGGTAATATATAACCCAATTTTACATTACGTAATTATCACACCTTAAAATAGCTCTCATGTTTCAAATTGTATACCGGTTGTTATTTTGAAAAGGAAAGTACTGCAACGTATTTGCACACAAAATGTCTCAAATACCAATACACCAGCAACGATTAGTATACATTCTAACATATAGTAGAGCAGACACAACGAAATTTCCAACTAGGCAAAGTTTTGCCGACGCTGTAGCCGAAGCATGGAGGGTATCAGGTTTTTCGGTTCAACATTGGGTCGTGTCTTTAGAAGCTCACGCAAACGATCATCCCGATTGTGATGATGAAGAAATGAATCGGCACGGACCTTCCTTTTCAACTAGCGAAGCTTTCCTTTCAAAAAGCAGAACTCCCTTTTGAAATAGCAGAAATCCCTTTTCAAATAGCGGAACTTTCTTTTAAAAAGAGCAGAAGTTCCTTTTGAAATTGCAGAACTTGCTTTTCAAATAGCAAAACTGCCTTTTAAAATAGCGAAGCTTTGCTTTCAAATAGCAGAACTGCCTTTTCAAATAGCAGAACTCCCTTCTCAAGTAGCGGAGCATTCTTTTCAAAGAGCACAACTTCCTTTTCAAATAACAGAACTCCCTCCTCAAATAGCGAAGCTTTCCTTTCAAATACCAGAACTCCCTTTTCAAATAGTAGAACTTCTTTTTCAAATAGCAGAACTTCCTTTTCAAATTAATAGCACAACTCTCTTTTAAAATGGCGAAGCTTTCCTTTCAAATACCAGAACTCCCTTTTCAAATAGCCAAGCTTTCCTTTCAAATAGCAGAAAACCCTTTTCAAATAGCAGAACTTCCTTTTCAACTAGCGAAGCTTTCCTTTCAAATATTAGAACTCCCTTTTCAAATAGCAGAACTCCCTTTTCAAATAGCGGAACTTTCTTTTCAAAGAAAAGCAGAACTTCCTTTTCAAATTGCAGAACTTCCTTTTCAAATAGCCAAGCTTTCCTTTCAAATAGCTGAACGCCCTTTCCAAGTAGCAGAACTTCTTTTTCAAAAAGCAGAACTTCCTTTTCAAATAGCAGAACTCCATTTTCAAGTAGCGGAGCATTCTTTTCAAAGAGAACAACTTCCTTTTCAAATAACAGAACTCCCTTCTCAAATAGCGGAGCTTTCCTTTCAAATATCAGAACTCCCTTTTCAAATGGCAGAACTTCTTTTTCAAATAGCAGAACTTCCTTTTCAACTAGCGAAGCTTTCCTTTCAAATAGCAGAACTCCCTCTTCAAATAGCAGAAATCTCTTTTCAAATAGCGGAACTTTCTTTTAAAAAGAACAGAAGTTCCTTTTCAAATTGCAGAACTTGCTTTTCAAATAGCAAAACTGCCTTTTAAAATAGCGAAGCTTTCCTTTCAAATAGCAGAACTCCCTTTTCAAATAGCAGAACTCCCTTTTCAAGTAGCGGAGCATTCTTTTCAAAGAGCACAACTTCCTTTTCAAATAACAGAACTCCCTTTTCAAGTAGCGGAGCATTCTTTTCAAAGAGCACAACTTCCTTTTCAAATAACAGAACTCCCTTCTCAAATAGCGAAGCTTTCCTTTCAAATAGCAGAACTCCCTTTTCAAATAGCAGAACTTCTTTTTCAAATAGCAGAACTTCCTTTTCAAATTAATAGCAGAACTCTCTTTTAAAATGGCGAAGCTTTCCTTTCAAATACCAGAACTCCCTTTTCAAGAAGCCAAGCTTTCCTTTCAAATAGCAGGCAACCCTTTTCAAATAAAAGAACTTCCTTTTCAACTAGCGAAGCTTTCCTTTCAAATATTAGAACTCCCTTTTCAAATACCAGAACTCCCTTTTCAAATAGCGAAACTTTCTTTTCAAAGAGCAGAACTTCCTTTTCATAATTGCAGAACTTCCTTTTCAAATAGCAAAGCAGTGTTGCTAAAGCAGTGTTGCCTTCTCGTTTCTCTTGGACAGCGAGACAGACTAGCTCCACTCTCTTCGTGATGCGGTTTTTATTGCGAATAATTTCGGATACGTCATATACCGTTAATGCACGCTCTCTTTGTCTCTTTCTCTGACCTCTCTTCGATCCTGCTCGTCCTACCCCGGCCTTTCTCTTTTACTTTATGGCCTTTTCGGTCATTGAATCGGTCCTGCTATTTGAAAAGGGAGTTCTAATATTTGAAAGGAAAGCTTCGCTAGTTGAAAAGTTGAGAGGTCTGGAAATCATGATATGAAACGACAACAAACTAGAATATATTTACTACACTAGTTAGACAGTCACTAGTACAGGCTACAAGTCGAAGGTATGTTTGTATATTGATGTATTATATTGATGACATAATCGCCAACGAAAGTTCTATGGCTTTGTATGAAAGGAAAACAATCGTTACTTTGTGTTTATATCTTTATTATTTCCATATCATTGTAGTATAAAATAGCTAATATATAGCCTATATTTCCATTGTAATATTATCCAGACAACCCTAAATAAACATGTTGCTGAATATCCTGAATACATTCAGGGTATATGTTTCTCATAGGGCCTGTTTATATGGAAGCCGGGCTGGCCCGCTTAGCGAGACAGCCCGGTAAGCGGGATGAATTTCTCTTGTGTTTATATGATAAAATTTCATCCCGCTTGCTGAGACAATTTTGTTACATTGTATTGTTTTGACAGTTGTTAAAAATAGCTTGCGGCGGTATCTTTGAACTTTCATCCCAGCAACCGGGCAAGCCCGCTTGCGAGTGTTTATATGGAGGAATTTCCATCCCGGTAAGCGAGATCTCGCCTCTTTCAAGCGAGATCTTGGCAACCGGGCCAGCCAGCTTGTCCATATAAACGCACAATAATTTTTACTATAAAAATAACTACTCAGTGAGATCTTGCTTATCGGGCTGTCTCACTTAGCGGGCCAGCCCGGCTTCCATATAAACAGGCCCATAGTTATACCTCTGAGGAATTCCAAGCTCAAACGATGACCCCGGAGGAAATAATATTGTACCCCTGAAGAAATATCCCAATATGATATAAAGTACTATGCAACCCTAAATATGGCATTATTAGTGAATGTTTAGGAGTCAAGTTGTGTGTTTATATGCAACCTTTGAACTTTGTGAGCAAGGCTTTGGCAATACCCATGTTTGGAATGAAGTTCTTTCCTATGATTTCAAGTATCTCAAGTGTTATAAACACCATCACTTTATAACCAATTAGAATAATTATTTATCTTAAATGAAAGTCTGAACTTTATATCCAACAATATCCAGTATTTGGCCGGTATCTTTTAACTATCCAACATAGCTGAAATCTGGCTAGATAGCAAAAAGTTCTATCTAGTGCAGCCCTAGAAATGACCAGGGTGCCAGGTGGCCAATAGACCTTATGCATAATGATGTCACAAGGGTTATTTTTTATTTTATTTTACAATCTTTGTCACATGACCGGTTTAACCCACAGAGCTAGTTGCTCCTTTATGGGTAACCTGCATCATGGGTTGATGCCTGTGAGGAATTTAGTCAGGCTTTCTACCCAACTCTCAAGTATTTATTCTGACACATCACCTGTGTGAATAGTGGAAACTTATGTTGTCAAGACTCCGAGTCTTTAGTCAGCAGGTTGCCAAGACCTAAAGTCTTTCAGCAGTCAGTAGAAACTGTTTTACAGTATGGGTACATGTAGTATAATTAAAATTTAAATGATTAATTAAGCTTAATATTATACTGTGAATAGTGGAAACTTATGTTGTCAAGACTTTGAGTCTTTAGTCAGCAGGTTGTCAAGATCTAGAGTCTTTCGGCAGCCAGTGGAAACTGTTTTACAGTATGGATAGTATAATTAAACATTTAAATGATTAATTAAATAAGCTTAATAGTATACTGTGAATAGTGGAAATTTATGTTGTCAAGACTCCGAGTCTTTAGTCAGCAGGTTGTCAAGATCTAGAGTCTTTCGGCAGCCAGTGGACACTGTTTTACAGTATGGATGGTATAATTAAACATTTAATTAATTGATAAATTAAGCTTAATAGTATGCTGTGAATAGTGGAAACTTATGTTGTCAAGACTTGAGTCTTTAGTCAGCAGGTTGTCAAGACCTAGAATCTTTCGGCAGCCAGTAGAAACTGTTTCACAGTATGGATGGTATAATTAAACATTTAAATGATAAATTAATTAATTAAGCTTAATAATAAACTGTGAATAGTGGAAACGTATGTTGTCAAGACATCAAGTCTTTAGTCAGCAGGTTGTCAAGATCTAGAGTCTTTCGGCAGCCAGTAGAAACTGTTTTACAGTATGGATAGTATAATTGAATATTTAATTAAATGATAAATTAAGCTTAATAGTATACTGTGAATAGTGGAAACTTATGTTGTCAAGACTAACAGGTCTTTTAATAGTCAGCAGGTTGTCAAGACCTAGAGTCTTTCGGCAGCCAGTGGAAACTGTTTTACAGTATGGATAGTATAATTAAACACTTAATAAAATGATAAATTAATTAAGCTAAATAGTATACAGCGAATAGTGGAAATTTATGTTGTCAAGACTCTGACTCTTTAGTCAGCAGGTTGTC